GCCTGTGTAACCCTGCATGAAAAATAATCAATTGTATATAAGCTGAAAATTACTGTTTGGCCATTGCCCATGAGAATACTGGCTATTGCCCGTGGGAACATAGGCAATCACCCATAGGAACATAACATTCTAACAGCAAGCTTTCTGCTTCTGTACTCCCCACTTGCACACCTGACCAGTGGGTTGACAGGTAGTGATTAAGAGAAAAATAGACCTTTGTGTTTAAGATAGAATGAAGAATGGGATTTAGGGCTTAAAAACCTTGTATCTTGGCATTTTGGGGCTGCTCCTTTGTACAGGACAGCCGCCGGCTAATAAACAGTCTTTGAGAGCATACTTGGTTTGGTCTATTCTATTATACAGGCCACAACAATCTCTTTAAATGCTCAGATTTTGTTTGAAAAATAGTATACATTCAAATATTGTAGTTAAGATGATAAGAAAAAAATAGCTAACATTCACAAAGCACTTACTGCCAAGTACTGTTCCAAACAACTTAACGTGTATTAAGTCATCTAATACATTTAGTACAGCAAACTTATGGATAGGTGCCATTATCCTCATTTACACATGAGGAACCGAGGCCCAGAAAAGTTAAATAGCTAGTACAGGCGAATCAGGACTGGAACCCAAGTATTTTGACTCAAGTTCAGTCTCTTAACGATTACACTAAAGAGTCTTTCAAAAACAATTGAGGCAGTCATTTCAAAAAAAAAATCAGTTTAAAGGTGTAACCAGAATCCAGAATCGTGCTGAAAGGGCACAGTAATAGTCTCGGGAATTCTTCATGCAGAAGTTCACTAGACTATAGGTGACTCTTATCTAAGAGAAGCTGACACACAGCTTCTACTTGTATAAGAGCAGTCTTTCTTATTTTTTATATTCTTTGTAGTAAGCACTTATAAGTAGTATAAGTCATATAGAGTGAGTACTTATAAGTTTTTGAATGAAAGAATAAGTTTTGAAAGACACTTCACTGCTTCTTTGCCAAGTGGAAGGAAGGGAGGGAGAGAAAGAAAGTTCTTATCACAATGACTGTGGATACGTAAGACATGCTCAATGGCTTCAGAAATGTGATGTTCCACCACTTCCGTTATTTCCCTACTTTAACAACTAGAGATTCTCAGAGTCCCTGACTTCATTCTACACCCTTATAATTAATCCCCCTCAACTTCTGCCAAAACAATGAATAAGATCCTAGTCACAAGGTACCTCCAAATTGCTCCAAACTACAGCAAATCCATTAACACAAAATACAGTCATTAGAGAAGCCACAAATAAGCATGTTCAGGACTTAAACGACCTGGAAATTAATGGAGACAGAAAGAGAATCTAATCAGGAACTGATGCTGATTTTACATGGGGCAGAGAACATTCTCAGAGTCAGATTGTGTGTCAAAAACACGCGGTTTGTGGGGTTTGATTTCTGAACAGAAGTAATTATTGAGATGAAACTGAAGCTCTTCACAAAGGGAAAACAAAACAATTCAAAGTGCTATAGAAGAAAATGCTGCATGTGCCAAGGAGCAGAATGAAATAATGAATACATCCTACTGCAACCAATTGGAGAGTATAATAAAGACCCCTTTATGATCATCTATTAACTAAGAAAAGACTAAACTAGATATTCTTGAGTGCCGGGCTCACCAGGGTGGGAAGGGAATCATAACTATAATCTTCTCTGAAGGAAGTGGAAATCTCCTGTTTGAGGCTGCAATCATCTGGAACTTCGTTGTTTCAGAGAGTAAGAAAGGCTGTTACTTTAAAGAATGGAGGGCCCTTTTGTGGGAGATAATGTATCTCCAGACATAACCCCAGTAAAATAAAAGGCAGTGAGAGGCTAAATGAAGTCACTGTACAACTCGGCATAATGTGTGTCTTCACATTCACGAAATATTATCCTAACATGAAAATTCAGATGGTGTCTACCACCAACTAAAATGGTTAATAAATCAAAAATAATAATGGTTGTGTATTCTCCATAATCCTTCTACAAAGCTCCATTTTTTTTCACATATGTATTCTGAGCCCATTAGCTCTATTTTTCTGAAAAACATATAAATGCACAAGCAGCGAATACAATCATTCTTTTCCTAAGTAACACATTGTTGCAACCATAACTTAGAATAAAATTATAACCAAAAAAATCATGTTGTATGCAGATTTCCCTCTCAATTTATTACAGATTTTTAAAGATATAAGCTGTAAATACATTGCTTTAGAACTTCACTTTACATTTATGAGTTTACTTTAGAAGTAATATTATGAATCAATTACTTTAAAATATATTGATTGCTAGTTATAGATTTAAATTATTCATGGGAAAAATTGACATTTCACTCATTCGATAAGCAACCATGAGCTCATGCACTCATTAGAGGAGTGTGGTAGGAACTAGGGAGGGATAAAGGATTTACAGCATCCCCCAGAAATGTACTTCCTAAATTCAATCTGAAATCACTGGCTTAATGGCAGAGTGAAATTGACCAAGGAAATACTTTGAAAATGGTGGTCAGATTCCTAGGCTATCTCAACAGTGGCTGTTCAATCCATAAAGTTGTTAGTACTTGTACCATTAGTTTGTGTTTGGGGTCCTGAGAACAAGAGGATGAAGAGTTTCCTCTGGTTTTCAAGACTTCAAGGTGAGTACTATTAGGTGTCATTTAAAATTTTTTACTACAGACCGATGTTTTTATTTAATACATTGTTAATTTATTTATATTACCTGTCACTTCTAGTCGAAAGCAAATACTGTATAGAAGGAACATATTAGTATTTTACAATATATTTTTAAAGCTATTCTAACCTGTGCCAAACCCTTTAACACAGTCCAAAATGGGGGATAACGCAAGTCATTCGTATTGAATTTGGAAATTAACTCCACAAAGGTTCCGAAGCATAATTTTTGGTATTTGCTGTTCCCTGAGTTATCTTGTGACTATCTATTTAGTGTGGATGATAAAAATTGGTAGCCCAAAAGGCTTAGTTATAATTAATTAATTTAAAAATAAAATAATGCAGTTAAAAATTTATACAGGGAATTTAGGCAAGTATTTAAGTAGATAATGAAAAATTACTAAGAATATGAAAACATAGCATGAACTTAAAATATATGAACGCAAATGCCGAAAAAGGGGGAAGACTTCAAAACCTAGTACTTTTGTCTAATTCTTAGTTGTCCTCAGAAATCACCTTAAAAACTTGCCATTATTTTTAAATAAAACTCTTCTCTGGATAAATAGAGTGTATAACCCCAAACAATAACTCAAGGTAGAAGGGGCTGGTACAATTAATAAGAGCATTCAATTAACTTATTTGGTAATAAATTACAATAAGTAATC